TCTGATGAAGGGTCTAGGCCCGAAACGTCAGCCTCTCTGCTCCTATGATGCTGCTTGGCCTGCTGTGTTCATCCAGCCCTGCACTCTATTTATTCAGTGTTTGTAATGCAATACATTGTTGCGAGGCACCTCGCATGGCCTAACAAAACAAAATTGGACACTAAGCCAAATAAAGTGATATGATGACAAATATTCAGAAGCTTGGTCAAAGAAGTAGGTTTTAAGGAGTATCTTAAAAAAAGGAACAGATTTATGGAGGTAATTCCATTGCTTAGGGCCTAGGCAGTTAAAACACCTTAACCGTGAATAAAAAGCAATTAAAATTAGGAAGGCGTGAAAAGCCAGACAGAATTAAATGAGCACAAATGAGCCGAGGCAGGTGATTTTATGGAGGTGGAAATGAACATTTTAGTGATGGTACAAATATGTGGTCAGATGCTCACCTTGGGGTCAAATATGACACCAAGGCTGGTGACAATCTGGTTCAATCTCACAGTTGCCAGGGAAAGAGATGAAATCTGCAGACTTGGAGTGGAGTTTATAGCACACTCAAGAATATAGTCTCAGTTTCCCAATGTTTACTTACCAACATATCCATAAATATAGTCACATACACACAGTCATGTCTCTGAAAGCACAAACACAGATCAGCTGGGAGCCCTGATTGAACCTCATCGTTTTAAAGCTAATTGAGATTAAAATTAGATTGGATGCCTGACTTAGCCCAATCCTTTCTTGGGGATATGGCCCTATGCTTGTATACTCAAAAATGTGTAAACATCATGTAGTTAAGATTGAAACCTTAGGCAAGTTGTCATTTTTTTCCAATGTTATCACACACATCACTGTTAAGAATTTTTAAAAAAATGTTTTCATTCTCAGTACCTGGGCAGTGCTGGTACTAATGACTCTATCTAGTTTTCTTGAGGAAGAGTATGATCTGATTCAGCCACATCAGAGAGTTAAGACAAACCAGGTTAGTGTGAGATTTAAGTTATGGATAATAAGGACTGGTTTTCCTCCTTAACAGATATGCAAACCATTTGGATATTTATGACCATTCAGCAGCTCCTGGGTCACTTTCACAGCTCTCAACTTTATGTCTCTAAGCAGATTAAAACTTTCTGTGACCAGCATCACTCCCTGATCCAGCTCTACCATCAATCCTCACACTCATCATTCACAGATCCCCCTCCAATGTCAATCTGCAGATGGTCATTGTTCACTCTGCTCTAGACCTTGCAAATGTATTCTGTAAATTCCCAGCATTACTGGATCTGAATTTCATCTGTTCCAATTGAACAACCAATACAGGCCTTTCAAGAGCTCAGCAGCTGTAAAAAGATTGTAATAATAAGATTGAAATTGTTATTGAAACTATATACTTTCTTACTTGCTTTCAATCTGGCTTGTTGCCTGGTTGAGGGCATCTCTTAAAATGGAGTTCTCCTGCTGGAGCCGGGCTATCTGGGCTGTTGGTCCATTCTCCAGCTGTTCTTGGAGCCCTCGGATCTGGAATGGAATTATTTTATTCAATATTAGGAAGACGTTTAGAGTAAAATAAAACCACCAGAGATAGTTTTTAAACCACCATGCACACTGATCAAGATGCTGTTTCAGCTTTTAAATTTCCCAAACAGGTGTGAAGTAAGATCATCCTTATGGCAAACCTATTTCAGTAATAGTTGGCATTGAAGAAGAGTCAAAAGTTAAAAACTGGTAAACACCCATTGCAAAAATAGAAATTACTGGGAAAGCTCAGCAGGTCTGGCTGTTCTGAGGAAGGGTCGCTTGGACTGAAACGTTAACTCCGATTTCTCTCCACAGATGCTGCCAGACCTGCTGAGCTTTTCCAGCAATTTCTATTTTTGTCTCTGATTTACAGCATCCACAGTTCTTTTGGTTTTTAAATACTCACTGCACTTGTACTACACTTCACAGCAGGAGCCAGACTGAGCCACCAGGTTTGCAATGTTTAAACTTTGAGATCCTCACTCTTTTCACATTGCTTTTCCCTTGTCTAACTCTGTAACCTCATTCAACACTCCAACTCTAACTGATCTCTATACTCTCATAATCCTGACCTGTTGTATATCATCTGATTTTCATCACTCTATTATTGATGACCAAGGCCTTCAGCTGCCTAGGCCCTAAGCTTTCAAATTCTCTCCATAAGGAAATTCAGCACGTCCAAAAGGACCCTTATCAATTTTTACAGATGCAACACAGACAGCATTATATCCGAATGCATCACAGCAAGGTTTCGTAACTGCTCCTCCCGAGACCGCAAGGAACTACAGCGACTCGTGAACACAGCCCGGTCCATCACACAAACCAACCTTCCATCCACTGACTCCATCTATACTTCCTGCTGCATCGGGAAAGCAACCAACATAATCAAAGACCCCTCCCATCCCAGTTATACTCCCTTCTACCCTCTTTCGTTGGGCAGAAGATATAAAAGTTTGTAAACACATATGAACAGATTCCTCCCCGCTGTTATTGGACTTCTCAATAGACTTCTCAAATTTTAAACTTAATGTTGATTTTGCTCTGTGTACCTTCTCTGCAGCTGTAACATTGTACTCTTTGTTCTCTTCAATTACTCTATGCACTTTGTATGGTATGATCTGCCTATATTGCACACAAAACAAAAAAAAATCACTGTATCTAGGTATATGTGACAATAATAAATCAAATCAAAATTTCTCTCTTTCTCACTCTGTAAAGTGCTTCTTAAACATACCTCCTTGATCAAATATTTAGTTGCCTGTCCTTATATCCTGTTACACGACTCAGTGTCAATTTTGTTTTGATAAGAAGAACATAATGAAAGAAGGTGCATGGGTGGGACATTGGGCATTTCAAGCCTACTCCTTCATTCAATAAGATCATGGCTTTTTAAAAATGTATTCATTTTGTAGGATGTGAGCGTCACCGGCTGGGCCAGCATTTATTGCCTGTCCCTAGTTGCCCTTGAGAAGGTGGTGGTGAGCTGCCTTCTTGAACCACTGCAGTCCACCTGCTGTGGGTTGACCCACAATGCCATTAGGGACGGTATTCCAGGATTCTGACCCAGTCACAGTGAAGGAAAGGTGATATATTTCCAAGTCAGGATGGTGAGTGGCTTGGAGGGGAATATGAAGGTGGTGGTGTTCCCATGTATCTGCTGCCCTTGTCCTTCTAGATGGAAGCGGTTGTGGGTTTGGAAGGTGCTGTCTGAGGATTTTTAGTGAATTTCTGATCTGACTGTGGTTTCAATCCACTTTCTTGTCTGTCCACATAATGTTTATAGATCCTTGTAGATCAGTAATTTGTCTATCCCAGCCTTGAATGTTTTCAGTGGCCAAACCTGCACTGATTTCTGGGTAGAGATTTCAAAACTTAGCCAGCCTCAGTCAGATGTAACGCCTCCCCATTTTGATCTTAAAGGGAGGAGCACTTATTCTGAAACTGTGCCTCCAGTTTCTAGCTTCTAAGGGGAAATGTTATCTCAGCATCTACCCTGTCAAGGCCCTATCAATATTATCAATAAGATTACCTCTCATTCATTTAAAGCCCAGTGAGTGTATACCAACTTGCTCAACCCTTCTTCATTAGACCCTATCATCACAGGAATCAACCTATTAAACCTTTCCTGGGCAACCTCCATGCAATCAAATCCTTTGTTATTTAAGGAGACCAAAACTATATGCTGTTTGTACTGTAGCTCTGGTTTCTCCCACACCTGGTACAGTGGCAGCAAGACTTACCCATCTTTATACAACTAACCCCCTTGCAATAAAGGATAATATTCTATTTGCTTCCTAATTTTTCACTGTGCCTACCGAACATTTTGTGATTCATGTAGAACATCCAGATCCCTCTGCATTACATTTTCCTTATTCTTTCATGGGATGTGAGCATTGCTTACAATGATAGCATTTGTTGCCCATCCCTAATTGCTCTTGAAGTGAGTGGCTTCCTCAGCCATTTCAGAATGCAGTTTGGAGTCAAACCACAATATTGAGAGTTTACAATCATACATAGACCAGTCTGGGTAAAGATGGTAATTTAAAGGACATTAGTGATCCAGATTGCTTTTTTTATTTACAACAGGCAATGATGTTCTCATTGTCACCATTACTAAGACTAGCTTTATATTCTAGATATATTAATTAAGTTCACCAGCTGTAAATGCTGCGATTAGAATCCATTCCCAGAAGCATTATTAGCGCGGGTTTCCAGATTACTGGCCCAGTGTCATTGCCATAATCTCCTCATCTGGCTGCAGAAATAATCAAAGAGCAGAAGAAATAAACACAATAACTAATCACGAGAGAAAAACTGATAAAGACCCCAATGGGGCTAATGACCAATAAATCCCCTGAACCGGATGGGATGCATTCCAAGACATTAAAAGAAGTAGCTGCAGAGATAGAGGATGCACTGCTAGTTATCTTCCAAGAATTCTTAGATTTGGGAAAAGTACTAGATGATTGGAAAACTACCAATGTAATACCTTTATTTAAAAAGGAAAGGAGATAAAAAGAACAGGCCAGATAGCTTAACATCTATTATTGGAAAAATGTTGGAGCCTATTATAAAGGATGTATTAGTACATCATTTAGAAATACATAATATGGTCAAGCAGGGTCAGCGTATCTTCATGAAGGGGAAATCATGCCTGAAAAATTTACTAAAACTCTTTGAGGAGATAACAAGCAGCATACAAAAAGGGAAATCAATGGATGCAAAATACTTGGATTTTCAGAAGGCATTTGATAAGGTACCAACCTTCAGGCTGCTTATTAAGAAAACAGCCCATGGTATTGGAGGTAACATATTGGCATGGACATAGGACTGGCTAACTAATAGAAGACAAAGAGTGGAATAAGGGGGGCATTTTTAGGATGGCAACCTGTAATTAGTGGTGTGCCACAGGTATTAGTGCTGGGGCACAATTCTTTACAAATATGTTAGTGACTTGGATGAGGAAAACAAATTCACTACAGTCAATTTTGTACATATAACAAAAATAGTCAGGAAGGCAGGTGGTCAGGATGACTCAGAGAGTCTGCAGAGGGATACAGACAGGTTAAGTGAGTTGGCCAAAAGTTGACATGTGGAATATAATGTGGGGAAATATAAGGTTATGCACCTTGACAGGAAGAACAGAGGAGCTGAATATTATTTAAATGGAGAAAGATGACAAAAAGCTACAGCATAGAGGGAATTTGGAGCCATTGTGCGTCAATCACAAAAGGTTAGCATCCAAGTTCACTATTAGGAAAGGCAACTGTAATGTTGTCCTTTATTCCCTTTGAAATAGAGTATAAAAATATTGAGGTCTTGTTAAAACTATCCAAGGCACAAGTCAAACTACATCTGGAATACTATGAACAGTTTTGGGTCTCTTATCTAAGAACGGATATACTGGTGTTGAAGGCAGTTCAGAGAAGGTTTGCTAGGCTGATCCTGGATATGGAAGGACTGTCTTATGAGGAGAGGTTGAGTCAGTTGGGCCTGTAGTCATTGGAGTTTAGAAGAATGAGAGGTGACCTGATTGAAATATACAAGATGTGGAAAGGTTGTTTCCCTTATGGGAGAATCTAGGACTGGACAGCATAATCTCAGAATAAGGGGTCACACATTTAAGACAGAGATGAGGAAGAATTTCATCTCTCAGAGGGTAGTGAATCTGTTGAATTCTTTATTACTGAGGACTATACAGACTGGGCTGTTAAGTATATTCAAAGCTGAGGTAGACAGATTTTTAATCAGTACAGGAATCAAGGTTATAAGAGAAAGCAGAAATGTGGACTTCAGGATTATCAGATCAGCTATGATATCTTTGAATAGTAGGACAGACTTGATGAGCTGAATGACCTATTTCTGTTCCTATGTCTTATGGTCTTATGCAATGTTCTGTAGCCTCCCTCCTGTTACACGATATTCTGCTTTTCAAATTCTCCTACTAAAATAGACAATTCCAAATTTTATCACACAACACACTAGATACCAAATTTGATTCACTCAATTAACCTGTCTATAGCCTTTTGCAGACTACTAGCGCTGACTTTGTAACATGCTTTCCTACCTATCTTGGTATCACCATCAAATCGAGCAATAATACACCCAGTCTGTTTATCCGAGTCATTAATGTAGATTTTAAATAGACGAGGCCTCACCACCAATCCCTGTAGATAAAGCTGATTTGAACTGCCTCGGAATATTTTATTACATTGAAGTCATTATATTAGGGTAAGTTCTTGTTAAGATGTTGCCTTCACAATGGTGACATGGCCAAGTATAAGAGCTGTGCTGTTGCTCTTTATCGTCATTGTTCTTGACCAGTTCATTCAAGGGCTGACTTGCAGGCGCATCTTACCCTTTGGAACAAAAAGCCCAGCCATAGATTTGTCTCGCCTTGCAAGAGTTGTCCCTCATGGTCGACTGAGCACAGAGTACCAGTGGTAGTCACAAAGGAGGCGATGGTGGCTCTACCTGTGGCCCAGCTGAAAGGGATTGTGAGGGAGGCAAAAACCCGTGGAGTGGGGTGGGTTGGGGGGGAAGAGGGGAGTGGGAGAATAAAGGGATCAAACAAATAGGATTAAGAATGGAAGGAGAAGGGGAGAAGAAATTAATGAGATTATTAGTATGGGGGGTGGGGCTTAGCTGAAACATCTGTTATTTTCTCCCAATCTCCTCTATTCGCTTCCCTGCACTACACGCTTCCTCCAGACCAAGAGTCTGAACAGAGGGCTCCTGTCCATTCCCTTTATTGCTGCCTTCCAGAAACATGACCAGAGATGGCTTACGGGGAATTTCTATTGAACTGCCCTTGCCCTTTATAGTAAAGGTTATATGAAGTTCTCGTAATACACCACTTGCAGCATCGTGATCCCTTCTTGACATCACATCTCAGGAAGCTCTTGGAGGGTGTGAAATACAGATTCATCAGAATAACACCAGCATGAAAAAGGTTAAATTACAGCAACAGGTTGTACTCCACAACTCACACTTCCTGAGTTTTCCAGCACTTTCTGTTCTTATTTCAGATTGCCAGCATCGTAGTATCTTGCTTTTATGATATATTTCTAAATCAGGATAGTGTGAGATTCAGAGGGGCACCTGCAGTGGGTAGTATTCCTATGCACCTGCTGTCTAAGATAGGATTAGGGTTAGTGTCAGGGTTAAGGTTAGGGCTCTTCCAGGTGGCACAGGTCTCGGATTTGGGATGCTCGGTCGAAGAGCTGTGACACATTACTACAGGTTACAGAATCGAGGCAGGTAAATTAAATAATGATACAGATCATCTATAAACTAACAGAAATGTGGTACAGGCTGAAGAGGTAGAATATGCTTTTTGTTCTTTTTTCTCTCACAAGATGTGCCTGCTCTTCACCTGCCTCCCTTTCCTTCAACAAATCACATCACTGCACAGCCAAGAGTGAAACCTCACAAGTTATCATCGCTGGAGATACTGAAATGTACAGTATTCCCCTGTTCAAAATCCTGAAAACATGTCAAAGCATGACAGCAGTAGTTGGGCTCCAGTAGTTTGAGAGTAACTCCTGGACTTTGAAGCAAACTCAGTCGTTTGGGAGAATGGGCAGACAATTACTAGATCTCCCCTTGGTGCCTGGAAGAATGCACAAGAAAACAACAACAACGGGCTGAACTTTATGGAGCACCCCAGTCTCCGTCCAACATCGCCCTGGCTAATATGTCAGGGGAGTCCACTTCCATTCCCGAAACTGTCTCCACAGCAAATCAACTTCAGGAACAGCATTAATTGCCTTAAGGTAAGACTGCTGAGCTTAGGAGGAGGTCTGTTTCAAGAGGTTTCTAGCCATTCGGATGGCCAACAGCTGTGTTGTCCCAGCAGCGCCAGCCAGGAGCAGTGGCCACTGCTGGAACTACAGGCCAAGGAGCCCGGTTACATGTTGGTTCAACGTTGCTTCCCGGGAGCTCAGGAGATCCACAAAGAAGGCTTACTCCTGCCAAAATCTTGCCTGACACTAGCCTGCTCAAATAAAGCTGCTCGACTTTCCCTTTCCCGTAGGTAAAAAGCTAGTGGGAGACAGAATGAGGCCTTCAATATCTTCATTTTGAGACAGATTAGACCAAAGAATGTGCTCAAGCAACGAAGCTTCTTTCTCTAGCTTATGCATGCCCAACTCAGCTTTACATTAACTAGTTAACCTACTAGTTCACATTCACAAGAAGACGAACTGTTCAGTGTGGTCCTGCACTAAATCCATGTCTTACATTTGAACACTTCCCCTTATATTTGACAGGTACATCCACATTTCTGTGCCTCCTCTCCACTGCCCTTGAGAGTGTTTCTCCATCATATATCCATCCATGGCTCCAAGTGATTGGTTAACAGTATGGTTCTGGGAGAACTTTTCATTGACCATTTGAAAGGAATATTGGTCACTTTCAGCTCTAGACTAGTAATTCTTCCACAATATAAACACTCCATGACCCAACTGAGAGAGAAAACAAAATGGCAGACAATGCCAATGGCTATTTGCACTCTCTTCCTTGCTGGTACTGCTTCCTCTATTAGAAATGCAAAAATATGGTCTCCTCGAATATGTGGGATAAGAGGGGCCAATCTTGCCTTAATATAGGACATTCAGGCACACAATGGTGAAGTGGTACTTAAGATGTGTTAGAGCATTAATTGGGTTAGGGCGTGAGATGTAACTAGTGACCTTAGCCTGTAGTTGCTGTGTCTCAGCCACATGGTCCTGGTAACTGGCCTGCATACGGGTCTGCATCGCATTTAACTCCTCCTCCCGCATCGTCAACTGCTCCTTTAGTTTTGTTTCATTGGCTGAGGCTTTGGCTTTTTCAGCTGCAAGTTCCTGAAAGATACAACAGCAATTTAAAAACAGATATATTAAAAGTAAGTAAAATGGACAGTTTCTACCTTCCCCTTCCTTCTCTTGCCTTCAGGTGTTCATCTCTGACTCTTCCCTTTCCTTTTTTTGACTTTGTTTCCATTTAGGGGGATGGATGTCTACTTACAGCTATGGGAATAATGACAAGTTTTACATTGTGGTCTTTGCAAAGATTTGTAGCTCGGGTTGTGGGTGAGGTTGTTGACTTGCTCACCGAGCTGGCTGGTTTTCATTCAGACATTTTGTCACCATGCTAGGTAACATCATCAGTGGGGCCTCTATTGAAGCCAAGTTTTATATTATTTTTACATTACATTGTTACACTATTGCAGACTACACTTTCTCACTCCTTGCTTTCTGTAAGGACTCCATACCAATCTCCCAGTTTCTCCATCTCTGTTGGATCTATTCCAATGATGTTACCTTCTACAACAAACTCCCAATGAGTCTTCCTTTTTCTTCAAGTACACCTCCATCTAGACCATGTTTAACCAAACCCACTGCCTGCACTTCTACCCACGCCCTTTCACCTCCTTCCCAGGATGACAGGGTTCCCCTTCTCCTTACTTTCCAGCCTCTGTAGTCAAAGGATCATCTTCTGCATTTTCTGCAACCTCCAATATGATGCCACCGCTAAATACATCTATACCCCCACCTCTACTATCAGCGTTCCAAAGGTACCATTCCCTTCTCAACACCTTGGTTCACTCCTCTATCACTTCCTATACCTCATCCTCCTCCCACGGCATCTTCCTATGCAATCTCTACTGTGGGGAGACCCGAAGCCAACCAAGTGACAGCTTTGTGAAAGTCCAGAAACTTTACTCAACCTTCCAGTCGCTTGCCATTTCAATACACCTTCTTACTCTCATTGCTCATATTTTTGTCCTAGTCCTGATGCAGTGATCCAGTGAAGCGCAACACAAATATGGAGGATCCGGACCTCATTTTCTAATTAGGCACCTTACAGGCTTTTGGACTCAACACTGAGTTCAGCAATTTAAGACCACGAATTCTGTTCTCCCTTTTGATATTACCTCTGTCCCCCAAGTGCCTGTATTTTGCTTTCATGCTTTTGCTTTCAGTCAGAGTTAACCTTTATTCTGCTATTAACGTCTGCTTTGGCTAATGCTTTGCATATTCTCTACAACCTTTGGTCTTTTGCTCCATTGCACCTTTGACTTCAAATCTCCCACCTTGCCCTGATCTTCCCTGTTGTTCCAACTGCCTCTTCCCTCTTTATCATCAGCATCAAATCCATCATATTACCACTTCTCCTTAATTCTGAAGAGTCACACTGGACTCAAGATGTTAACTGCCTCCACAGATGCTGCTAAATCCTTCACGAGTCCACACTATGAGACAAACTATACCTTGTTGACTTCCCGAAGCTTGCTTTTGGCTGCACTGGAATCCTCTTGTTCTGCTACAAGCTGCTTCTCTTTCTCATCCAGTTGGCGTTTCAGAGCTGTTACTGGGTCTCCTTTTTGAGTAGCCTATAAATCACAAAAGGTGATCAGAATGAATTAATAAGATAAATAATACAAACACAGTGTGCATTAAATTCTTTAATATTGCCCTTCTAATCCCATCCAATATGGGAAGGGGTAATAAAACAAATTGGAGTCAATGGTAAAAAGAAACGTGTAAGTATACAGCAGCTTCATTACTCCAAGGCCTCCCTGAGTGCTTTACACATTTTTTTGGAATTAATTAATTGATGAGTAGTCACTGTTACAGGTAGGGAATATGACAGCCAATTTGTACACAGCAGAGACCCACAAATAGAAACACTATAATAGCCTGATAATCTGCTTCAGGATTGTTGATTCAGGGCTAAATATTGAGCAAGATAACTGGGAGAACTTCTTAACTCTTTGAAATAGTGCCTTAGGACCTTTTCATCCACAGAAAGGGCAAAAGCGGCCTCAGTTTAGTGTCTCATCTGAAAGACAATACTTCCAATGATGCAGTTTTCCCTGAGTACAAACTACAATATCCAATCAGGGCAGTTTCACAACATCAATTTCCTATCAGTTTCAGGAAAATCAAACAAGTTGGAAGTTTTACTGTCTGACTCTTACGGTTCCAGGAGTAGTTAGTGCAAAACTCAAGGGAAACCCCTCAGTGCTGGGTTATACAGTCAGCAGTGTAAATGCAGCTTGATTTACACCACAATTTGAGGCAGTCTAATGTTGCCAGGCTCTCAAAACACTGCAATATGCACCCACAGGGATTGGAAAATATTAATATGAGCGGCAGCAAAATCCCACTCTCCCCAAACCCATCATTCAGATACAGCAGTAAACTGGGGAACCAAAGGAACCATTGACTTCACCCATCCGTAATGAGATGTGAAGTAGAGCTGTAATCATGCTGTGCATTTTAGGAATGTGCTTGATACCAAATTCTATCCAAATTCCTCTACCCTGAATCTGTTAAACAAAACAAGCCAATTAAACAAAAGAATTTAGTACCACCCTCAGATCCAGGCTGGTACATTAACACGGCATTGATCTCTCTTGGGGGCTGCATGGAAATCACTGGTGGTAGGTGTATAAAGCACAATGATTCCCCTTATTGGAGAGAGAAGAACTGAGTGTGGGAATTACCCCCTCTAAGGCCAGGGAAAGGGCCAGATGAGCATGGCATTTCCAAGTCACTGACACGACTCCTAGCAGTTGGACAAGGGAGTGGCTTACACTTCAACATCAAATGATTCAAGAGAACCGTGAAGCACTTTGAGATGTCCCGTGGTTGTGAAAGATAATTTTATTTTACTGATTCCCTGTCAACACAGTGAGAAAGCAAATGAATGCAATGCTTGGCACGAACTGAACGGGTAGCTTACTGTGTGCCAGGTGTCCTGCACAATGCCGGCCTTGTCCATCAGGATCTCGATGAGCTGCTGGGCCTCCCCCTCGCTGAAATCCATACTGCTCACTGTGGAAAGCAGGGTTTTGTAAGGAATGTAGAGAGGGCCATCCAAGGTGTCAGCAGGAACATTGACTGAGAAAGTGGGAAAACAATCCACTGTTAACGAGTTGACCTCTCACCAACTGATTACTCACACATCACTGCATTAACACCATAAGCAACAGATGTCCCACTGCCCTTACTTGCAGATGAGTTATAAAATGATGGATCTTACAACTCCACCTCTGTACAATCAGACATGCCTAAAGCAAAAGTATATATTGCTCTCAAAGCTTGATCAGTCTGTGACAGGTTTCCCCATGGATCGCTGAGTTCACACTGTAAACAGACAACTGGACAGATTCAGGGAGCTCCCAGGTCCCGTTTTGATCAAGGGTGGGGGAGGATGAATTAAATAAAAACATTGGTTCAGTGACTCTTATGGAGACCAGTACTGTGTGGACATCCACTGAAGACATCAGCTTCAACTTCATTGGAAAATAACCACTCACTGCCATCAACAATGGCCACTCAGGGTGGGGCAAGAAAAAAAAAGTCTTGCATTTATACATAACCTTCCACTCCTTCAGGACTTTCCAAAACATTTCAAATCAACTAACGGTAAAATCAAAAGAAAAGTCCGTGGCTGACTCCATGACAGGGTTCCACTTCCATGGCATATGACAGTGTCCAGCTGTGGGAAACAACCAATCAAGGGCACTCTCCCAATGCCATCTCGATTTTCCAACTAACAGACGGGGAAATCAGTCATGATGGTGGCTGGCTCCTAGTTGCATACGGAGTAGACACAGGAGCCAGAGGGTCCATTCAAAGGAGAAGGTGTCACTAATAAAGTTTCATCTGCTGAAATGCCTGTTACTGCTGGAGATTTCAATAACACCTTCACTCCTCATAGCCCTAACCATATTTCCTTCGTATCTAGCAACCAGAACTGGAGACACCCTCATACCTCTCTGAATTCTTTCACAATCCCCACCGTTGGCTGTGAGGCTGCTAGTCTTTCAGTACTGGACAGCCTTCAATTTGCCCTCCAGACTCGGGGAGCCAGTTTGCTGCCATTTACTGAAAAGGGCTAAGTGCCCCAAGTGTTTGTATTTCCGGGCTCCCAACCCACACTTCATCACAACAGTGGGATTCAGTGTCAGGAATGAAGGCTCTGTCCTACATTTCACCCAGTGCTGGAAATATTTCTATCCCAAACTGCTGCAAACAGAAGGCAAATACCAACAATCAGGAGCGAGGCCTGCGCCACACGACATATAATGATTGGTAAAACAACCTCTGCAAAGGCAGCATGTGGGAAAGAAATTGGCACTGCAAAGAAGCACCCACAGATACAGCAGCAGCTTGCATTTATATAGCATCTTTAACCTGGGATACATCTCAAGGTGCTTCAGAGGAGTGTAATCAGAAACCATGTGCCATGGTTTTATACAAACACCTGATGAGCATCCATCATGCTGTGCATTGAGACCAAATGCTACTCTTCCCATACAATGGCATAACATACACTGGTGGTCTGAAACATGCCATGTACCCGTTCCAGACGTTAGTACTTACAATCTGAAGCACATAGGGACTTCTGATATTTTATATGTTATCTTAGTTGATAACAGGTTAGCTGATCATTTGTGAGATCTTGCAGAATACAAATGGCCATACCCCCTACATAAGAACAGTCATTACACTTCAAAAGTGCTAATTTACTGATGTAAAGTACTTTGGGACATTCCGAGATCCTTTCTTTTTCACTCACTCCCTGTCACATAGGGTAGTAGGAGAAGAATCAATCCTTCAGAAGGGGAGTGGATGGAGAGTGGATGGATGCTTGAAAAGAGAAAAATATAGCAGAGCTCTTGGGAGACAGCCAGGGGTGGGATTAATAGCTATTCTAAAGAGCTGGCACAGGCACGATGAATCAAACAGCCTCTTCCATGCTGTAAATCTACGATAAGCAGAATTCCGAGATTGTGCACTTCTGATGCGACACGTATAAACAAGATCAGAATAATTGGAATTTTTTTTGATTATTATATCCTCAGAAGGTCTGCTCTGCTTTCCCTGTTTCTGATTAAGCAGCTGTTTATTTGGTACCCGTATGCTGCCCAGCTGTCAGACAGATGTTTTGCCTTACAAGCCAGAAGTCCTATTAGCCCGAGACAGCAGTGACACCAGAAGAATCATAACTTGTGGCTCATGTTGAATTGATTGACGTGCCAACGCTCACAGGATATGATACCCATTGTTACGTATAAGGCAACAAACCCAAAACCAAATCAAAATGCAAATCAGTCCATCACAAAGAATGGGCGAAGGAAGGTCTGCTTGAACTGTTATTACATGCTGGAGAACAGCTTAAAATTCAACTGAGTAGATCAGTCCAGGTGAAGGGAATTACATAGACTAAATTAAGCTAGGAGTATCAGAATATATTCCTAAAGTAATGTTCATTTACATTTTCTTTGTCACATAGGCAGATGAAATTGAGAGATGATTAAATTCAGAATTTTTAATTGGTAATTGATGGCCTGGTTGCTCTGTGGAAAATCTAAATTAAAAGGCTATCAACCGAAAGCTTTAATGGTGTTTAGAATTTTAAACAAAATGTAGGAGAGGGATACCCCACACCGCAAGCCCCGCCCCACCCCTTAGAAACGTGCTGACTCTTTTAAGTTTCTTGTGTACTTGCAGAGTCTCCCACCAAAGCTGCTGCTTTCGCTGGTAGCTACTCCCGCCAGAAGATCTGCTATTGTGGTACACCACACTCATGTGTTGTGCACCACCTTCACAAACCAGCACAAGGGAAGGAATGTTAGGTGTTCCTAATTGTTACTTTGAGTCAACCACATTTCACACAGAACCACTGGTTCACAGCACCAAAAGGTGAATGCTATACATTAGTAAACGCTGACATTAAAAAAAAGGGAGAATTGGATACCTTGCCCTTCAGCACTGTCTCCACTCAAGTCCACACCCACGTACCATTCTACTCCCTCTCCCTCTTCCTTACTTCTGTATCTTGTCTCAGTAGCTGTCCAAGTGGCTTTGGGACCTTTAAACACTTTGCTTAGAGGAATACGGCAGTTCTTGCCATGAAGAAGGGGCATGGTTTCCGGGAAGTTCAGTCCCAATGCCATCTGTGTGGTTTTCCACGCTGCTTCTGTTGCAGTGGATCCTGTATCCAAGGTCCAACATTGTGGGAAGGCAAATGGGCAACATTTTGCCTAGTCTGAGTCAGATATAGGAATTTATTCTGCAACCCAACATATTCTTAGAATGTCACAGAGTGCTCCAGAGCCAATGAAATATTTTTTAAGAGTTTACTGTTGTAATGTGAAGAAACACAGCCACCAATTTACACACAGCACAATGCCTTAAACAACATGAGTCTACTTTGTAAACACTTAGTTGGGAGATGAATTGTATGCGTGTGTGGAAATAGAGGGAGTACTGCACTGCTGGAAATGTCAAATTAGGGATTAGATGTTAAACCAAGGCACCATCTGTCTACTTGGCTGACACAAAAGATCCCATGGCACCAAGTAGAGCAGAAGGGAAATTTGTAGTTTTCTTGCCAATATTTATCCCTCAATCAACATCAAAAAAACAGATTATCTAGTTTACTGTTAGTGGGATTTACTGTACACATGATGGCTAAAGTTCCTACATTACAACAACCTCTACACTTCAAAATGCACCCCATTGGTTGTAAAGCACTTGGAGACATTCGGTGACCATGAAAAATGCTATAAATGCAGTCTTTTTTAAACGGCATGGTTGAAGGATAAATGTTGGTCAGATCATTCAGGAAAACTTCTCTGCTTTTCTTCACACATGCCATGAGAACTTTTACATCAAGTTGTGAGGACAGACTGGACCTCAATCAAGGAGCAGAACCTTTAACAGTGTGGAATTCCATCAGTAGCATATTGGAGAGTCAGCCTGAGTTAAGTGGTCAAGTCTCTGGAGATGGATTTGAACCCTTAGCACTCTTACCGAGTCTGAACATTACCAGTGAGTCAGAGCAAAGGTAACCCATTCACTTCACAGATAAGTTGAGCAAATTAAAATCAAATGATTACAAAGATGATTGTGTGTAATACACTGAGGACATTTCCAAATGGAATCTGAATACCACACAGTGGTATAATGTGTTCCAGGATCCACACATATCTAATGTATAAAATTCAATCAGTATTGCACAGGGATTTCTCCTCTTGTATAAGCTAATGGTTCTGGAAGAGTTAATGTTTAAGTTGCATTAACTCTACCCAACATAATGATGTCACACAGTCTTTGGGTGGAGAAGCACCTAGTCTTGCACAACATCCCAGTACTGTCAGGTGTGATATTCCTGGCTCTGGATAGTTGGCACTATGCATAAATAGTGAATATTAATTTTACCTATTGCTATCAGCTTGTATAATGAGGCAGACTTGATTAGGGAGCTTAAGGTGAAGCAACCCTAGGGGGCAGTGATCATAATATGATTCAAATTGCAGGATGAATTGTGAGAGAGAAGCTGGAATCAGATGTAACAGTATTACAATTGAGTAAAGGTAACTACAAAGACATGAGGGCGGAGCTGACCAGTGTTGATTGGAAGGGGAGCCTAGCAGGGAAGGTATTGGAGCAGCAATGGCAGATGATACTGGGGGTAATTCAGGAGGCACAGCAGAAATTTATTACAAGGAAGAAGAAAGATACTAAGGGGCAAAATGAGGCAACCATGGATGACAAGAGAAGTCAGGGTCAGCATAAAAGCAAAAGAGAAAGCATACAATGTGGTGAAGATTATTGGGAAGCCAGAGGATTGGGAAGCCTTTAGAAACAGAAGAAGATACCTAAAAAAACAATAAGCGGGCAGAAGATGAAGTATGAGAGTAAGCTAGCTAGTAATATTAAAGTAGATTGCAAGAGTTTTCTTTTAGATTATATAAAAAGGTAACAGAGAGACAAGAGCGGACATTGGACCACTGGAAAATGAGGTTGGAGAAGTAGTGAGGAACAAAGAAACGGCAGAGGAACTGAACAGATACTTTGCTTCAGTTTTCACAGTGGAAGACACCAGC